TCAGAACTGCTGGATTATTTAAGGTGGAATGGGAAATGTAGCTAGCTACTGAGACATCAGCATACTACTATAGATTTTTTATGCTTGTTATGAGGAAAACGACCATAATACACTGAAACGACATTAAACTAAGACAATACAGTGGTTATTGTATTTTTTAATAGAGAAAATTCTAACATTTGTGGGTTTCTTTGGTCGCTCACTCAGCCATCTTGCCAGTTTTTTTTTCTCATAACTCTCTGTTTGCCTCTGAAAAGCCTCCATTTGGAGGGTCATGTAGCCCCAGCACTTCACCCTACCCCTCTATCTCAACAAGAATCGGGACACCTTACTCCTAGGCGTCAACATGCAAAACGCAGGGTTTAGGGCTGAGTGGGGGGATGTGGGGTGAAATGGGACTGGGCCTAAGATTGAACTTTGGAGGTGTGTCTGCAGATTTCTATGAGAAACTGAAAGTGAGTCTCCTGAAAAGAACAGAAGCTGTAATTCATAAAGGTAGAGTGAATTCAATAAATGCAGAAAAGTATATATTTAGTTGTTTGGGGCTTCTGTGTAGGTTTCACATCTATATATAAACACATATTCTCACATATTTTAACTGGAATTTAAATAAATAAAAGATGATATCTGACGTTTGTGTAGTGCCGCCTAGAATCATTTACAAAACAACAATCAAAGAACCCCATTTATGTTAAACCTGCTGTCTGTATGACGTCATACGCAGGCCGTGCCGATGTGAAGAGGCAGTGAAAGCTGGGACAGGACGTAGATTCTCCCATTAAATTTGGAGCGAGCTCACTCCCAACACCGAGTGAATCTTTAATGCAGCTCCAGCACACGGAGGCAAAAGGCTTCACATGCCTGGCCCACATGATCCACCCACGCTGTTTCTGCAGTGTCTTTGGGGCTTGTGTGTTCAAGAACATGAAACTTCCTTTGAGGCTTGATCCTTTCTCCTCTTCCTCCTGTTAGAACGTACATGGAAAAAAATGGGTTGGCACTGGATTTGCTCTATTCCAATATGTGCATCATTTCCAGATAAATAAAATAGATTATATTGGAACAATTATTGCCAAAAGTAAGTAAACCAGATGACAAATTGTGTTGATGTTATATATTTAAGTAATGTGGAACTGATGCACACATTTGAATCAAGTACATTCAATGCATTATCTTTCCTGTGAGTAACCCAGTGAAAAAACACCCATACTACTGACCACTACACTTATTACATTAAAGGGGAATTCCACCAATTTTTTAAAAATTCTACATAATTCAGTAGTTGAGATGTGAAGGAAGTCATTCAGAGAGGTTTGGTGTGGAACAGTTCATTGTAGAGACTTAGATTTCTTTACAGTGGTGGTGATAGGAACCAGGGGTCACTATGACTACAACACAGACATAGCCATTTAGTTACTATCCAAAACCACCAGTGAACCTACACGAGTCTTAGGGGCTTTTTAAAGTTTTGATAAACACTTTGGGGACTATTTTGCCTTGCAGCACCCTGGACGTACCTCTCCACCATGAATGGATTTTAAAACACATATTTTAGGCCAAAACCTTCTTAAAACTATCGTAAAACAATGTATTCATAACCATTTCATGTAATAAGTGAGGGAGCTTTTAAAAGTGGATGTCTGGTTCCTATCGCCACCATTTTGAGCAATTCTGACTCTGTAAGCTTCTCTAGGACGGAACATTTCACACCAAAACCACTCTGAATGGCTTTGTTTGCGTCTTCACCATATAATTATGAATACATTTTGAAAAATCGGAATTCACCCTTAATTTGAGTTATTGTGATGCATTTTTAATGCATTACAAACTCTGCTGCGTGACACTAATCTAAATTTAAAATGCCATCAAAATGTATTGCAATCTCACTTTTCAACTGACCTGTCAATGCTCCGCCCACTAATTCTCTTGTAGCTACTGTTGCTAGGTAGGACAGGCTTTACAGAACACTGGCTCAAATCCCATTCAAGCATAGTCATAATACATAAATGTAGGTTGTGCTACTAATTTCGATTGACTTATTTTGTTTTTTGTTTGTTTGTTTGATATCAAGGTATATAAGCATGACTTAGGATGGTGGATGAGATTTAGAAAGAAAACACAGATTTAGCTTCCCTGGGTCTTTAAGCTAATATAGCAGTGAACCGTCCCTTAAGATGGGGTTATTAAAAACGGTATTGAATCAGGCAGCTACAGTATTAGAGTCAGTGCCCCACCTGAGAGGGATGACAGTGAAAAGTGATGACATATAGAAATACAGCTCCACCTTTAATGTTCAAATGAGTGCAGAGCAATAAAATACTCCCAGCAGAGTCAAACAATTTTCACCATGATGTAAAGAATGTTGTTCTATGCCCTGTGGACATATATGGGAGGTAATATCTGTACTGTAATTTACTTTAGAAACATGCATATCAATGCTGTCAGGACAAAACATCATATAGCTGTTCAGTTTTTGTTTTTTTACACAATTTAAAATGACCAGCTGACCTTAATACACTGTGTCATAATTTTTTGATAAACAGACCATTAGAAATGCTGTAAACTTACCTTTTTAGAGATACAAGGTTTTGTTCCAACAGCAACAGTCTGTGTAGGGATGTAGGGATGTTTCCTATAGAGGGCTCATATACTCACTTTTTTGAGTATGTCATTTACATACATCCGCCTCTTCTGCCCACATCAGCTTAGCTCCGCCCATTCACGCTGTTATTGAGTGTTTCAGCCCAAACTGCTTCTTAAATGAGCTACAAATCAGGGCAGCCAATCAGAACTGAGTTCATTTACATATACGTCTTAAAGCCATTGTAGTAACAAAAACAGTGTGTTTAATTGTAAGTGATAGAGACTTTAAAATAGGCACGTAATGGTAATTCAGTTTAATTTTCATTTGTAACATATTTGTTTATGCAGTTCATAATCAGCCTGATAAATTGTATTTTTCTGACACATTTGTATGTACAGTTAAAGGGGAATTCCACCAATTTTTCAATGTCATAATTAAATAGTTCAGATGCAAACAAAGTCATTCAGAGTGGTTTGGTGTGAAATGCTCCCTTCTAGAGAAATTAGAGAATCGGAATTGCTCACAGTGGTGGTGATAGGAACCAGACGTCCACCTCTAAAAGCTCCCTCACAGAAAGTTACTACATGAAATGGTTATGAATTCACTGCTTGATGTCTGAGACATTGTTCTATGATAATTTTGAGAAATTAAATTCATTCATGGTGGAGGGATACATGCAGGGTGTTGTGAGGCAAAATAGTCCCCAAAGAAAACTTATTATTTCAGATTTTCCACTAATTTCCCATCATCAACATTCCAGATAAAACTCAGACGACTCCTGTAGGTTCACTGGTGGTTTTGGATAATAAATAAAATGACTATATTTGTGCTGTAGTCATGGCGACCCCTGGTGCCTATCATCACCACTGTAAAGAAATCTGAGTCTCTACAATCAACCATTTCACACCAAACCACTCTGAATGACTGTTTACATCTCAACCATTATTACCATTATATAACCATTAATTATGCAGAAATGGGTGGCATTTCCCTTTTGAAGACAATACATTTTGTGTAACTTTTGGGTTGAATGTGACACAAAATGCTTCTGTAGCAACTGTTGCTAGGCTGCACACATACAGACAAAACCATGTGGCGTCTTCGGTATGTTTTAGCGGTCTTAATCAGCTCAGGGTCGATGCAAGAGTGATTTGATGCAACTCTGCTGAATCGACGAATCGATCCAAAGAATGAATCATTACCCTCCGATGGAATGGATGGTTGGATAGGTAGATAGATGGATGGAAGGAAAGATGGATGGCCAGATGGATGGAAGAAAGAAGGGCTGGATGGCTGGATGGGTGGATGGATAGATAGGTAGATGGATGAGTGGACTGGGTCCTTGGCTCTTGTGATTTCATCTCAACTGGTTGAGATTATTAAGTCAACACCATTAGCATCTCTCTCTCTCTCCCTCCTCTGCTCTCCTCCTCCCTCTCTCCCTCTCTCTCCTGTCATTTATCTTCCTCTCTACTCCTCTTTCTCTCTCTCTCCCTCTCTCTTCATTCTCTCCATTCTCTCTCTCCATCCCTCCCTCTATCTTCCCCTTCTACTTCTCATTTTCTCCTGCTCTCTCTTCTTCCCTGTAGTTTTCCCTCTCCTCATCGTTGTCTCTCTCTCTGTCTCTCTCTCTCTCTCTCTCTCTCTCTCTCTCTCTATTCTCTCTCCCCCCCTGACTGTCTTCCCCCACCCCCTTCTCTCCGTCTCTATCTCACTTTCTCTTCTTCCATCTATCTTTCCCTCTTCTTTCTTTCTCTCAATTCTCTTTTTTCTCTATCTCTCCAATCTCCCCCTTTGCTCCTCATTCTCTCTCTCCTTTTCTTTATCTCTGTCTTCTGCTCTCTTCCTCTCTCTCTCTATCTCTTCTCTCTTTATTCTGTCTTTCTCTCTCTCTCTCTTTCTCTCTCTCTCTCTCTCCATCTATCTTCCTCTCTCCTCTTCCCCTCTCCCTGTCTTTCTCTCCCTCTTTCCCTCTCTCCTAGCGTCCATCTTCTACTCCTCTTTTTCTCTCTCCCTCTCTCTTCATTCTCTCTTTCCATCCCTCCGTCTAGCTTCCCCTCTCCTCCTCCTTCTGTCTCCTTGCTCGCTCTCTCTCTATTCTCTCTCCCTCCCTTCTCTGTCTTCTCCCTCCTCCTTCTCTCCCTTTCTATCTCTCTCTTAATCTCTCTTCCTCCATCTCTCTTTTCTCTGTCGTCCGCTTTCTTTCTCCTTCTCTCACTTTATTCTTTTCCCCTGTCTGTCTTCCCCTTTTCCTCCCCTCTCTCTCTCTCTCTCTCTCTCTCTCTCTCTCACACACACACACACTTTCCCACTCTCCTCCTCCTTCTCTCTCTCCTCTCTCTTCATTCTTTCTCTGTCTCCTCATTCTCTCCCTCTCTTCATTCTCCCCCCTCCTCGTCTCCCCCGTTCTCTCTCTCTCTCTCTCTCTCTCTCTCTCTCTCTCTCCCTCATCCAAATCTCAATCACGTATGATTGCGTAGGGAGACTCGGTCTCATTCAGTCTCCGTTCGCGAGCGCGCGCGTCTGGGAGCTCTAACGGGAGCGCGGCTGTTTTCTCCGAGATGCCGCTGATGCTGATGCTGATGCTGCCGTCCTCTTTCTCTTCTCTCCTCCGCGGATCGCAGGATTACTGAGGGAAGTGATGGGCCGCCCGTAGTGCACGCGCTGGACGAGACGGGGGTGGGGGGGCTGCATCGCCTTTTTTAATATATACTTCTTTTTATAAAAGTCAATAAGGCGTGTTTATATCAAACTCACATCAGGATGAGGAGGATGAAGATGTAGGGTCTCGCGGGGAACACGTATCACCTGGAAAACACCTGACGCGCGAGACGAGGCGCTCTTTCTTTCTCTCTCTCTCTTTCTCTCTCTCTTTCTCTCTCTCTATCTCACTCTATATTTTACTACTAGCTGAGTAAATAAATACATAAACAAACAAACGAATACAAACAAACAGAGCGGGATGACATGGCTGCGATCGCGAGCTCGCTGATCCGCCAGAAGCGCCAGGCGCGCGAGTCCAACAGCGAGCGGCTCTCGGCTTCCAAGCGGCGCGCGAGCCCCAGCAAAGACCCGCGCTCCCTCTGCGAGCGCCACTTCCTGGGGGTCTTCAGCAAGGTCCGCTTCTGCAGCGGCAAGAAAAGACCTGTACGGCGGAGACCAGGTCAGTGCAGAGCGGCCAGCCCCGTTTACTCTCCTTCTCTTACCCCCTTTACCCCCTTTACCCCAACTACTTTACTGCCCCCCACCTTCAGAGAATTCTTCATTTTTAATATTAGAGAATTTTTAATGCTAGAGAAACTCAAACAGCGAGCACATTTCATTAGTCTCTCTCCCTCTCTCTCTATCCTCTCGTCTCTCTCTCCCTCTCTTTCTCTCTCTCTCTCTCTCTCTCTCTATCCTCTCGTCTCTCTCTCCCTCTCATCCTCTCTCTTCTCTCTCTCTCTCTCTCTCTCTCTCTCTCTCTGCTACGAGTGTCTCTCGCTCTCTCTCCTCCTCCTCTCCTTCCTCCTCTTTCTCTCTCTCTCCATTTCTCTCTCCATCTCTCCACCCCTCCTCTCCTCTCTCCCCCTTTACCCCCCCTCCTCCGCCCCCGTGGCTCTGCTGCAGTCCACAGCTCGAAAGATTTTTTTTTTTTTACCGCGAAGAAAAAGAAAAAGAGGAAACACTCCCACCTGTTCCATAGCTCACGTGTTGCCACATCGATCCGCGCGCACAGCCTTTCTGTATTTTTCTATGTTACACGATCTGCACATGTTTACGTGTATTTTTTTGTATTTTTGATGGTTATTGATCGTGATTGCTGATCGATCTCCCGGACCTCCTGAAGGCTGTGCATGCCGTGCCTGCCTCTGTCCTGCTCGCAGTGTCCATGCAAAGCCACACAAAGTTGGAAACGATGCATTTATTTATTTATTTATTTATTTATGGTCAAAATGTAGTGCAACAGTGCGCGAGACAGTCAGGGACAGGTGGCACCGCAGTGCACCAGTGGCTCTCTCTCTCTCTCCCTCTCTCTCTGTCTCTGATGAAATGTTTAATGGTAAAGGCTTATGGCTTACCAGAGAGAGAGAGAGAGAGAGAGAGAGAGAGAGAGAGAGAGAGAGCTTTGCTGCAGTGTGTGGTCAGGTGTGTGGATGGACACACGTTTTTGTCCTTTTTGGCACAAAGAGAAAAAAATGCATCTCTCTCATGATGTAGGACAAGCTGTGAGCCACGCTTCACTTTTTTTGTGCAGAGAAAAAGAGAGAGTGAGAGTGAGAGAGAGAGAGTGAGAGAGAGAGAGAGAGAGAGAGAGACAGAGAGAGAGGGAGAGAGAGAATGAGCGAAAGACGAGAGAAGGATGAGAGAGAGAGACAATGAATGAGAGAGAGAGAGAGAGGGAGAGACAGAGAGAATGAGGGACAGAGAAGGGAACAAGATAAAAGGGGAAGAGAGAGAGAGAGCGGGGAGAGGGAGAGAACAGATGAGGAAAGAGATAAATTGGAAAGAGAAAGAGAGAGAAAGAGAGCAAGAGACAGAGAGCAAGGAGAGAGAGAGAGAGAGAGAGAGAGAGACAGACAGACAGACGGACAGAGAGTAATAGGGACAGAGAGGGAAAATAACAGAGAGGGAGAAAGGGGGCAAAGAAAGAGAGTGAGAAAGCAAGAAAGAGAAACAGTGTGAGGAAGAAGGAGAGGCAGAGATAAAGACAAAGAGGATGGGGCAAAGAGAGGGAGACAGACAGAAATAGGGAGGAAGAAAAGGGAGAAATGGAGGAGAAAGAAGGAAAGTAAGAGAGAAAAACAGAGGGATAGAGAGAGAGAGAGAGGAGAAAGGCAATAAGACAGCGGGGGAAGAAAAAGAAAGAAAGAGAGAAGGAGGACAACATATAGGGGATATGGTAGAAAGAGAGGGAGACAGACAGAAATAGGGGAGTACGACCTGGGAGAAATGGAGGAGAAGGAAGGAAGAGAAAGATAGAAAGACAGTAAGAGAGAATAAGGGGGAAGAAACGGAGAGATGGAGGAAAATAGAGGAAGTGCATGTGAGGGAGAAAAGGAGAAGGGGAGAGAGACTGAGGGGAAAAAAGGGAGAAAAGAGAGCAGGAAAGACTGAAAGAGAAAGAAAGAAAGAAAGAAAGAAAGAAAGAAAGAAAGAAAAAGAGATGGAGGAGAAAGAGAGAGGGACAGATAGAGGAGAGAAAGGCAGGAAGACAGAGGGGGAAGAGAGAGTGTGAAGAAAGAGAGAGAAAGAGAGGGAAAAAGCATAAAGGGGATGGGGAGAAAGAGAGGGAGACAGACAGAAATAGGGAGTAAGAAAAGGGAAAATTGGAGGAGAAGGAAGGAAAGTAAGAGAGGAAAATAGAGAGAGAAGAAAGAGAGAAGGGGGGAGAGGGGAGAAAGGCAGGAAGACAGATAGGGAGGGGGGAAGAGAGAGTGGGAAAAAAGAGAGAGGGCAAAAAGCATAAGGGGGGTAGGAGAGAGCGAGAGGGAGACAGACAGAAATACCGAGTATGAAAAGGGAGAAAGAAAGCAAGAGAGGAAAATAGAGGGATAGAGAGCGAGAGAGAGAGAGAGAGAGAGAGAGAGAGAGAAAGAGAGAGATAAGCAAAGCCCCTCCCCCTCCCCCCACACACACACACTTCCAGCACCACCACCACCAATATCACCCAAAAGCCTCAACACACTGTCAGTCACTTGCTTTATACAAACAGCTGCTGCTGGAGAATGTCTGTGTTAAAAACACTGTTGTTTTTCCTTCTCCCCCCGTAAGATGCGCCCTCGAACCCTCCACAGGTGTCCCGTAAGGGCGTCAGGCTAGGTCAGTACCTCAGCCTACATAAGTGTGCTTTCGTCTCCAACTCACCCACTCCATCCCGAGCTCATGTCGACCGTTTTTCGCAGGGGAGGGGGGGTGTAGCTCTTGTCCGACGGCAGCCGCCTTTGTCTGGCCAGTCTTTGTAGTATGCAGCCGACTGTTTTGTTTTGTTTTTGTTGTTGTTTTCCTTTTCTTTCTCCTGTCCTCGTTTGTTTGTTTCTTGGTCCTTGTTTGTCTATCCTGTCTGGTCGCTTTCAGCCCCTCTCCTGTAGGCCCTTGTTTTTCCCTACATCTTTTCTGTCTGCTTCTCCTTTTTTCATTTCCTCACCTTACCCGATTCTCGTATGTTCTGTCCCTTCAGTGAGTGACTATTTCGCCGTGAGGGCACGATGGGGGCTCGTGTGTTGCCGTGTGTCATGTTTCTCCTGTCAGTCGTGGTGACTTTAGTGGTAGAGGTGATCACCATTTCATGACCATAACAACATCATCTGTCCACATGCTGTATCCAAATGTAAGTGTCTGTTGATGCAATGGGGCGATATGGAACATCTCTGTGGTTCAAGGCATCATGCTCAGTCTATGCTGCGCACACATACTGCAACATATGTCTATGAGGCTCAGAGAAGGAGTTGAGAAGATGTAAACATCTACACAGGCTATACGCAACCCCCCCTCCCCCCACACACAAAGCTAGACGTGTCAACACCACAAACCAGAAAGCTAGTTTCTTCTGAGGCGCCTGCTTCCACTCTTATTTATGGACTTGTGGTTTCCATATGTGATTTAGTATTGGCTCTCCTGATGGGTTCAATTGAGGTGATTGATGGCCCTTCCAACCCGTCTGAGATGTCTCGGTCTGGATAGATGGAGTCCATGATGAATGGCTGAGCCAAGTTGAATCTTTTTACCACCACGCAGATCCATAGTTCTTCTAAGGCTGTGGAACGTCTCCGCATGCCAAGTCACTCTCATGGTACCCCTCATGTAACTCCCACCCCACAACACCACCTCCCCAGCTTGAGAATTGACCTCTCCATGCTCCACTCGTAAATATATCGCTGCGTTCAGAAGAAAACCTCGTATCTCCATTTTTGTCGTTTTTCAGTTTTTGACATGATTTAAAAATGCCTGTTGTCCTTTTCATTGTATGTAAATTTCATGATGAATGGACCAAAAGAAACAGCTCAAAATGACTTGGAGAAAAGTCTGGTTCCGCTGACTTACATTAAAAGTAAAGTAGGTTTTTTCCTTCTCCTGTAAAGTTACCATTCTGGAGATACGAGGTTTTCTTCCGACAACAGCGATATTCATATGTCGCAACCGCAGCAAGGTTGGACAGGCTTTCTAAATAAGGCCCTGCAATTCATTTTTATGTCAGAATAACAGCTCGGACCAGACCGCGGCCCACAATGGTAGTCATGGGCGCTTGTAGGGGGGTGAGGAATGGGGTTAGTGAACCTGCAACATACATGATTCGCTTACATTTTGCCCTTGTCAAGGGATGTTTGGTCGGATGCCTCATTCGCTAGCTTCTCTCTAAAAACCACCTAACAATATCTTTGCTTTTTAAAACCACCCAACAATAATTTCACATGAGCATCCTCAGTAGCCATGAACTCGTATGTAGCTGTCACCATATTTTAGATTGAATAATGGCTTTCATGATACTTAAAAATAAAAAATTGTTAACATTGTCAATTTCTTCTTTTTTGACTTTGACTTAAACTAACCAACTGAAAGCAGCCAATACACTGCCAAAAATGGTATCTTGTCAAGTGAAATGATCTTAAATTTCATCGCTATATCCAATAGTTTCCATTTTAAGAAGGTCATGCACTTATTATAAGATTATTTAGCTTATTTCTAGACATTTTTACTTGTTTTAGTTGTTTTACTTGTTTTTAATTTGATTAAAATATATCTCAATGTCAATATAGTGAGATAAGTTTACTTAAATTATTTAAAACAAGTAAAAATGTCTAGTAATAAGGTAAATAATCTTAAATTAAACTTACAACAATCTCAACAGGAGAAATATTAGATTTATTGACTATATTTAAGATAATTTTACTTGACATGATAACATTTTTTGCAGTGTAGCAACCTAAATACACACACAAGGCCATATAGAGACCTGATTGAATTAGGCCTATATAACATTAGTTTATGAACATTTCAATTCTCTATTGTACAATTTATAAAAGAAACGTTTTAAAAAATACTTGGTCTAATGTATAAAATCCAAAACATTTTTTGCTGGGATCCTTTTGGAGTGTGTTGTCATGAGGCAACATTACGCAGCAATGGAAGTAAATGATGATGTGATAAATGATATGCATAAGAAATTGTACTTTTTAATCTCAATATTTCAAATGAAAATGAGTAACTGCACAATTTGTCGATCTTAAAATACTATAAGTCCTAAAAATAAACAGAATTGAAGAGTTAAAACTATGATAAAGCATAAAAATGAACTAAGTTTCAAGTAATCGTGATTTTCTAAACAAAACTGATGACAGTAGTAAAACATACATAAAATGAATGAGTATATGCTGAATGTTACATGACAGAAAGATTTCCTAAATAAACAGAAACACAGAATTCATTCAAAAATCTGACTTTAAAACTAAGCAGTAGCTGCGGTGGTCTCTGAAATGGCTGCATAAATGACCCGTTTGCTACCGGATACGCTGTCACTGTCAATGTTACGTTTAGGCAACAAACATATTTCAGCATTGTTTCATAACATAAAAATGATTAGTATGAGACTGAATATTACACAAATGAACTCCACACTCTAACAGATGTGAATCACATATTTGGATGGATGATAAATCATGAAAACCTGCTTTTTTGATAGAAATTTTATGGGGCAGAAATGTGTACCATCCACAAGCTTCACCAAACCAAACAGAGGTTTCAAAATGGCCACCACGAGATTGTGACCAAATACAAGCTTTTTACTGTTTAACTTTTCCCTTCATTATTAACCCTTTCATTATCAATAAGTATGTATCATATCATTGTAAAGTAAAGAAAATAGGTTTGTTGCCCTGAGGCAACAAAATGCAATAGAGGGTTAACAACAAGAATTAAGCCTTAAATGAAAAAACTACTACAGCAACATTAACTCCATTAATAATAAAAATAAAATATAGCAGTTAGGCTAATTAGCTCCCACCTCCACCCCCCTGCTCACTGCTGCAATGTTGCGGCTCATTATCAAACAGTCCATGGCACGGCAGCGGTCTGTGGCCCTGTGAACCTACCAAGCTGGACTATGTTGTTGTAACTAACGGATACTAGACTACATAGAATTTACCTCTATGCTAACGTATCAGTGTTCAGTAACGCTGGTCTAACCTTGCAGCAGCTGCTACAAAGGAAAGCGTTTGTGGGCGCAGCATGGATTAGTCAATTGTACCTACTTGTCATCAGCATCCTTAGCAAACGAGGCACATGAGGCGAGTAAGACCACTGCAAGTAAAAGCTTAGCAGAAATCTGGCAGTACATTCACTTGAGAGTCACAAACGGCAGAACTGAGCAGAAAACTGGCCCCGAATTCCAAACTCTCCTCAAATATGCTTCTCTTCACATGAATCTTAAGAATCTATGCAATGCATGTAGGGGTACAGTCTGACGTAACATGTGGGGTGTGGGTGGGGGTGCGTCTCTTTCGTTTCTCCCTCCAGAGCCGCAGCTGAAAGGTATCGTGACCCGGCTGTTCAGCCAGCAGGGCTTCTACCTGCAGATGCATCCGGATGGGACCATCGATGGCAGCAAGGACGAGAACAGCGACTACAGTGAGTGATGTCATCTTCCTAGTATGCATCCAATAGACTAGAGTTTGTCAAAGATCTGTTGCCTGCTACTGGATGACCTCATGATCAGTCTATGCCAGTTGAATTGTCTACATATTACCCTGATTGATTGGTCTTGTGGTACCCTTGCCTGGCATACCTTGATGTTCTACCTGCCCTACCACACATGATCCGACCAATCAGCTGATTAGCAAGCCTTACCTGAGTTTATTCAGGTGTATGAGAGCAGAAAAAACACAAAGCAAAGCAGAGGAACTTGTGCCACTGCTTCAAAGGTCCAGTCACACAAGCAAGCAAAATGACGTTCATTTTAAAGGAATTTACTATGAGTAGCAGTTCTTGTAGTGAAGGGAGTAGCACTGCTGCCTTCCATGGAGCAGACTGGGGTTCGATTCCCCACTCAGGCACCCTATGCTAATAAGGCTACGTTCACATTACCAAGCTTAAGTGGCACAAGTTCAGTTTTGAGCTATAATGTGACATCCTATGTTATGTTAGACCTGTGTGGACACACAAATATCATCTTTTCATCAGCAGAAGAGCCAGTAAAAAGTGGAAAACTAACACATCTGACCATTTTTACCTTGTCCTGCTCTGATAATGGACACCTGAGAGCTGTTCCGAGCTAGTTATCTTCGCAAGGCTTGCTCTGCTGGTTGGTTTGTTTGCTGTTTAAGACGGGTGTGATTCCTTCATGTGACGTTACTGATTAGAATGTTTGCATGCAGGTCGTTTCAGGACCCAGATTCAATCACATTAATGGCATGAATGACTTTGATTATTGACTTTGAGATTTGAGTCACTTACCTACACAAATTGTGAACCATCTTGTTTGAGAGATCAGATCTAAGCAAAAAAAATTGGATTAGAGCAACGAGGCTTATAATGTAAACTGTATTGAAGGTTCTTTAGATATGTTTGAATCCATTTTCCCGTTTACTCAAAAACACAGTATCAAAATCCACAAAACCAGTCAGAAGACAGTCTGAAATAGTCAAAAACCAAGTTAGGTCACAAAACCCAGCAAAAGTACCAAAGCGAGTCCAAAAGCCAAAGTCCATGAAGACAGATGAGTGCCCAAGTAAACCATAAATCTAGGAAACGTAGAAATACAAGGCTTAGTACGCAGATGAACTGGAAATACTTTGCAGAGAGCATGTGGAGGTGTGGGACCTCATAAATGGAGGTAGATGAGCTGCAGGTGAATGAAATCAAGATGTTACTAGAAACGTTCAAAAGTTCAAAACTGGTGAGACTGACCTCTGGTGTCGAGGGGGGATATTGACCTGATGTGAACATAGCCTAAGAGTCCTTGGCCAGGACTCCTAATGTTCCTTTGGCTTATCTCTGTAACATGATTCAATTGTGAAGACCCAAAATGGAGGAAATGCTCATTTTAGCAATGTCGAAACCCTGACCCTTTTCCTCCTCATTGCCCATGGACACAAAAAAGAGAGGCAGAATAATATGCAGTCAGTCAGGAGACTCTATTAGGTAGTCTGCTCCACCCAGCAGACTAGGGTTCGATTCCCTGCCCAGGCAAGCAAACTATGCTACACCAATAAGAGTCCTTGGGCAAGACTGTAAAAGCCACTTGCCTACATCTGGAATGCTATTAAATTGCAAATTCGCTCTGGATAACAGCATCTGCAAATGTATAGATGTTTCAGATGGCAAATTTCCACAACAGAGAGAATATACATGCAAAACTTTACATAACGTTTAAGGGTAACACTTTACTGTAGGGTTCTGTTCATAAGACTACATGACACCTACATAAGCTTGTCATGACAACTGACATAACCCTACATAAACGTTAATAAATGCTTATTCCAATAGGCGTCTTCTGTCATAAAGGCTAGTTTAGCTAACTGTGATCCAAACTGGAAAATGTAACCTTTATAGCAAATCATGCCTATTGGAATAAGCATTTATAAGCATTTATGTAGGGTTATGTCAGTTGTCATGACACGCTTATGTAGGTGTCACAAAGCCTTATGACCAGTATCCTACGGTAAAGTGTTACCAGTTTAAGTTTAATACACTTTGACATGTAAATTTGCATATTAGACGAATAGCTCTATTGCTCTGGCTGCATTGAACTCTGAAGGGGCGGGGCTTCTTATAGCAGCACTGAAGATTCAAAATGGAGGAAATGCTAGTTTTAGCAGTGTTGAAGCCTTTTCTTCCTCATTACCTATAAAAGAGAGGCAGGATGATGTGCAGTGAGTCATTTTGAGACTGTATTAAATTATACAACTATTTTTATTTTTGTGTTTTTACTGTTTATGGTAGCTGAGTTAGCCAGCTTTACAACTGCACCAAAATATTTTTCATCATCAGTCTTCTGGCCCAGCCTTGGTCAAGTCTATTTGGATGGTATAGCACTGGAGATAATACTGGTGCCCTTCACACAGTAGAGCAGGGTTCTTTTCCCTATACTATACCAATTAGAGTCCTTGGGCTAGACTCCTAATGCTACATTTGGCTCCATCTGTAATGTGATTAAATTGCAAATTCGCTCTGAATAAGATCGTCTGCCAAAAGCATAAAAATAAACAAATTTAGCAAAACATGCAGACAGAAAAATTGTAGTGAGGCTGTAGCTTAATGACTCAAAAATACAGAAAAATATAATCATGAATATATTTTGAGTTAACTGTGGAAGATAATAGCCCTGAGTTCACTCAAGTGATGCTTGCTTTTGAATGACCGGATTGCACATTTCAACCAAGTAACAGACCTGAATGCAGAGAAAAACTTTCATTGTTTTGAACATAAATTTGCTCTGTGATGTGCAGCGCTGAGTGGAGTGTTGAGTGCTGTTGTAGAATCACTGAAAGGAAAAGAGTAAGAGCCCTCTCAACATGATTGTCAGCAGTGCTTTTTTTGCCAGGGATCCTTCCATGAGTCATCCTTCCTCTGAGGAATCTCGTGGCTAACCTAAGCGCTAGTCTCATGCTCCGAGAACAGCATTTAAAAAGGCAGGATACTCGCACAAGATGGCCAGGCAGAGCCTTTGAAGTATAGTGTCCCAAGAATAGAGGGAGGAGAAGGGTCTTTCGGGACTTGGTTTCTGTCTATTCATTAGAAGTGGTTCTTCTAAGGAGGAACAGTCTCTTCATCACGGTTTCACAGTAAGAGAATATGAATTCCCTGAGGAACAGAGAGAGGGCACAACCTTCGCACCAAGAACATTCGCACCATCGAGGATTCATCACCGTCCCTGGTGCTGCTTCAGGGCAGACAAACATTTCCCCCATGGGACCCGGGTTGTGACAAATGAACGGTTCTCTCTCAGAGTCATGCAGGTGACCCTAGTCATCGAAACACTCGTTAAGGACGCCTTACTTGAACCATGCTTCATAGCACTGACATAACCATGCCATAAATGTGTTATGGTAGATGTCTTATGCTAGCATGAGTTGTCATGAAGGATTATGTCAATAAATCTTATGGCTTCTTATTACCATTACTGGTCATTGTCAATAAGTTGGCATAATGTTTGATGTTATTAGAGTTTATGTCACATGCTAAGTAGCATTATGTGTATATTGAGTATTGTACATCTTAAAAATCCATAACAGAGCTTTAGTCAGCAGATTTCTTATGGCAAATATCATGATTAGCACTTTGTGATCCTGTCAGAGATTTATCAATAACATGCCATAAGCATGTCATGATATAATGCATAACCTATTATGAGAAATTAGGCCACGCTGTACTTGAACCCTGCAGTATAACATTGTCAAAACCATGCTATAAACATGTTGAATGCAGCCCTGGGTTGTAATAACAGATTTTGTGCAATAATATAACACTGGTATGCTACCATTATCATTAACTGTCATGATAGATGCCATAATGTTCAACATCATGATGGCTAACTAGAGTATACGGCAAAAATGAGCATGTGACATCAAACATTATGGCATCTGTCAAGCCGTTACATAGTAATGGTTTTCTTAGAGAATAAAATAAGTCATTACTTATTTTCATGAGAGCATATCGATGTTGTCGGGACAAAACCTCATATCTTGGTTTTTCAGTTTTTGACGTAATTTGAAAATGCCTGTTGTCCCTTTACATTGTGTGTAAATTTCATGGTGAATGGACCAAAAGAAATGGTCCAAAATGACTTGGAAAAAAGTCTGATTCCATTGACTTACATTAAAAGTAAAGAAGTATCATTTTGGAGAAATCTAGCGGTATGACATCTGACATGACATGCCTATAGCATTACATCAGTTTTACATAGCAGGTTTCAAGTAAAGTGTTACCGGATATTTTGGACACAATGAAACTGAACTGAAAATGCACAGATAATCCTTTATAACATGAGAGTAATCAGTTATAAAAATAATGAAAAATTATGCCATTTGTCATAACATGTTTATGACACTTTTTTACAGCTGCCATAAAAGAGCCATAATTAATTCGCTCATAAAATATATTGCCACAGTCTGAAAACAAAAAACGCAAGTATCTATATTGTGTCTAGATATCTATATCAAGTAAATATATTACATCAACACAATTTCATTTTTCAGTTTACCTTCTTTTGGCAATAAATGTGCTAATTCAGATTAGATTCACATTTTTATTGCTATTCAAAGACCTTTTCTATTAACTTCGGCCTCTCATTATTTGGATGGTCCACTAGATCCACTATAGATCGTCTACATATGTTCAAATTGTTAACAAACTGTCTGTTTAAACTCTGTTGATTCTAAACAGTGGTGGGGTTATGGTTAGGATTTGGACCAGGGTTTAGGGTTAGGACCAGGGTGAGGGTTGGGGTTTAGGTTTTGGGTTGAGGTTAAGGTTAGGATTAGGGTTAGGATTGAAGCCGGGTTTAGAGTTAAGGAAAATCATGGTCAGTTTAGTAGATATTTAGTTGAATAACTCGAAACTAAATGAAGTATCTACAAAGCAACTAAAGTGGACCATCCAGATAAAGTCTTACCTTAATTTTTAAAACC